GTTGGGGGCGATGACAGGTCCCGGCACCCGCGCGCATGTGGTCCTGAGGTATCGACCTGCCCCCGAGGCAGCGCCAGGAATCATGCAGGGGTCTGCCCTGCACGACCTCCTCCTGCGCCTGGTCCAAACACAACACCCCTCTCCTCCCTCCCAACCTCCTCCATGACCCCCGGCCCCCCCCGACTCCCCGCCAAGCCTCCAGGTGCTGGGCATCATGGGCGCGCTGGACCCGCACATCCACAAGCTCAACCTGGCGGAGCTGCAGGGGGAGGGCAAGCTGGAGGCGGAGGGCGTCCGCCCCCAGACGCGGGAGCAGGACGCCATCAACGCGGCCAACCTTCCCGTGGGCGACCAGGGGCTGGACCTGCTGCCCAGCGCGGGTCTGGTCACCAGCTCCGAGGACTACTACCCCACCGTGGCCATCAACGCGCTGATGCGCCTGCTACGCAACCCGGGCCTGTCCGCGCTGCACGGCCGCGCGGTGGCCGCGCTGTTCGACATCATCAAGTCCATGGGCTTCAACTTCGTGCTCTACCTGCCCAAGGTCGTGCCCGTGCTGCTCCAGCTCACGCGCGGCGCGGACGACCTGCAGCGCCGCGTCGACATGGTGCGCGCCCTAACCGACCTGGTCAGCATCATGCGCCAGCACATCTCCCGCTTCCTCAAGGACTTCCTGGACTTGGTGCACGAGTTCTGGAGGGGGGCGCCCGTCATGCAGCCTTACCTACTCACGCTCCTCGGGGAGCTGTCGCGTGAGTCTGCCTCGAAGGGCGGGGGTTTGCGTCGGGGAGTGCGGGGAAGAGGGGCTAGGGGGGGGGGGGGGGCATGCCCCGCTGAGGCAAGGAAAAGGTTTGCCAGCAGGCGTGCGGGGGAGTCAGCCGTCGATGTCACGTCGAGCATCACCCATCATGGCTCCAAATCCCCTTGCCCCTCCCCCACCTGCCGCGCAGACACGCTGCAGGACGACTTCCACACCTACATGCCCGACCTGCTGCCCATGTTTGTCGCGGTGTTCGACGACGCCGAGCGCACCGGCGACTTTGCCATGGTGGGCGGCTGCTCGACCGGATGGGCAAGATCCCGCTCCGCTGCCACGAGCGTTCCCCTGGCGCGGGAGTGCAAGCAGCCGCTGCATCGTGCATCGAGCATGCAGGGGTTCGATTCACCTGCGCCTTCTTTTCCTCGCCGCTCCCCCTACTCCTCCGAGGGCCACGCAAAGGTTGTGGACCCCCCCCCCCCCCCTTCCCCCCTTATCCCAACCACCCACCCACTCATTCCAGATCAAACCGGCGCTGGAGGCCATCCGCTCACTGGGCACGGTGCTGGAGAGCAGCCTGCAGCTGCTGCTGCCAGTGCTGGTCCGCCTCATCACGCCCGGCGCCTCGGCCGCGCCCCTGGCCGTGCAGGAGGAGACGCTGGTGACCATGCAGGAGGTCCTGCCCAAGATGCAGCTTGCAGGTGGGTGGGTGGGTGCCATATTCATTGGGGAGAGGTGGCCTTGGGGGTGGCGGGAAGCGTGAAAAGGGGGTAAAGGAGGACGGTAACACGGGACATGACGCAGGCGAGCGCCCGATGTCTGAGTGCTCGTGCGATGCGCATGGCCTCTGCGCGGCTGCGGCGCCCTCGGGGTCACTTGTGCCCCGCCATTGGAAGGAAGCCCATTCAGTCGAACACCAGCCCTCCTCGCCTTCAAATCTCAACAGGGTACAGCTCGGCCATTCTGCACCCGCTGACGCGACTGCTGGACTCCAGCTCTGACGAGCTGCGAGAGCGGGCGCTGGACACCATCTGCGCCGTGGCCCTGGCCGTCGGCCCCGACTTTGCGGTCTTCGTCCCCGTCATCAAGAAGGTGCAGGGAGGTTTGGGGGGGGCCTGGAGGTGGGGGAGCGTGCCTGGGGTGTCTGCAGCTCGACGCCGCTGCGCGTGGGTGCCCAGGATGCGCAGCGGCAACCCCCAGACGCTCTCCAGCCCCAGGGACTGTACCAGAGCGGCCAGCCCAGGCATGGGCTTGCGCGCAGGCATCAGCACATGCATGCTCGTCCCCTCACCCCCAAACAACCACCCGCAGGCGGTGGCGCGGCACCGGATGCCGCCCCACGCCGCCTTCCTGCGCATCGCCGGCAAGCTGCAGCAGCAGGACCCGCCCTGCATGTCGGATGCGGAGGACTGGGAGCACAGCAGCGGCTTCCTGGCCGAGGAGCACCTGGCGCGGTACCTGAACACGCCCGGGCGGTACGCCTACGAGGCCGCCCCCGTCTCCCAGACCTCTGCCGACGAGGGGCTGTACGGTGAGATTGTGGTGGGCAAAGAAAGTGGGGAAGGGTATGACTGGGGAGGGTCAGAAACCCCGGCTGGGGCCCATGTAAAAGGTCCTGTCCCAGGATCCCCGCCGGCACCCATAGTACCGCATGCTCAAAGCTGGCCAGGAGTGGCCCGCAGCCTGTGCCTGTTTGTGGGACGCTGGCCTTTCCTCTGCGGCGGCTGCTTTTCCGCAGATCACTCTCGACCCCTTCGGTGGCTGGCATACCTCAGGCCATCCACTCCACCCCGTACCTCCGGCCTCGCCGCTCCCCTCCAAACTTGCCAGTAAACCCCACACCTGCGCACAGACACGATCGGCGGGCAGCGGAATGGCGGCCGCCACGACGGCGTCGGCAACCTGCGCCGTGCCTGGGAGTCCAGCCAGCGCAGCACCAAGGACGACTGGGCGGAGTGGATGCGCAACTTCAGCATCGAGCTGCTGAAGCAGTCGCCCTCCAAGGCGCTGCGTGCCTGCGCCTCCCTTTCCCAGGTGCGGTTGTGGGGAATGGTCACTGTGTGGCAGGGGTGGGAGAAGCGAGGCAGATGGTGTGTGGCAGTGGGCGACGAGTCTGAGGACCCTGTGCCGGGCCCCGGCAGCTGCGGCAGCGAGGCGCTACCATCCGAGGCGGCCCCTGTAACATAACTGGGGACCCTTGAACCCCCCCCCCCCCCGCCACACACACACGCACCCGTTACCCAATGATTCCCTGCCCATCACAACAGGCCAACCCGGCCATGGCGCGGGAGCTGTTTGCGGCGGGCTTTGTCTCCTGCTGGTCGGAGCTGGAGGAGAGCCTGCAGGACCAGCTGGTGCGGTCGCTGGAGGCGGCCCTGGCCAGCCCCACCATTCCCCCCGACATCGTGACCACGCTGCTCAACCTCGCAGAATTCATGGAGCACGATGAGAAGGCGCTGCCCCTGGACACGCGGTGTGTGTGGGAGGGTGTGACTTTGGGGCGGTGTACGTGTGTATGTGGAGGGGTAGGGGTGTTTTGATAGGGAGTCCATGTTCTTTTCATTTATGGGAGTGACCGCGCGGGGTGGCGCCTTGGTGAATGGTGCTGTGCTGCTCCGGGAAGGCTTGACAGACGGCTGTGAGCGGTCAGTGGCGTGCGGTCGTCGAGAGCAATCAAGCCCCGGCTCGACCGTGTCAAACGCCCACCACCGCCCCCCCTCCACCCTCACCCACAGGACACTGGGCGCCCTGGCCGAGAAGTGCCACGCCTACGCCAAGGCGCTGCACTACAAGGAGCTGGAGTACAACACCTCCCCCTCCACGGCCATCGAGGCGCTCATCAGCATCAATAACCACCTGCGCCAGCCGGACGCGGCGGTGGGCATTCTCACAGCGGCGCAGAAGACCAAGGAAATGACCCTCAAGGAGTCCTGGTGGGATACCGTCCAAGGGGGGGTGGGGGGGTTGAGAGAAGGTGACAAGGAGACCGTGCCTGCGGACCCCGACGTGGGGCATTGGCTCTGAAGGTGGTGCATTTGTCTGGAGCGGCAGGCGGTCTCAGCAGCACCCCTGTGGACCGGAGTGAAGGGCTCGAATCCACAGAATTATGCTGTGCTCATCGCAGCCCTTCCCCACCAGCATCCCAGGCACTCACCCCAAACCCCATGCACGCACGCACGCACGCAGGTATGAGAAGCTGCAGCGCTGGGATGAAGCGTTGAGGGCCTACCGCAAGCGCCTGGAGACGACTAAGCCGGGGTCGCCGGAGAACATCGAGGCGCTGCTGGGGGAGTGCAGGTGAGCCTGGGGGTGGGGGTGGGGGGTGGGGGGGGGGCAGTCGAGAGTGGGCTGGGGTGTTGGTGGCCTCGCGGCATGGCCGGCGACGGCTGTACAGGGTCCTTCCCCCTCTCAACGACCCCACCAACCGCCACCTTTCGGTGAGATGCACGCGCCGTGCACATGTCTTTCCACCCTCGTCCTTCCAAGTCAACCCCCCTCCCAACTCCCCAAAAGGTGCCTGGCGGCGCTGGCGGAGTGGGAGGAGCTGTACTCGGTGTGCCGAAGGGAGTGGCAGAAGATGGAGCCGCAGACGCGGCGCGAGCTGGCCCCCGTCGCCGCACACGCCGCCTGGCAGCTGGGCGAGTGGAAGTGCATGGAGGACTACGTGGACGTCATCAAGCACCAGCAAGCGGGGAGCTCCGAGGGCGCCTTCCTCTCCGCCGTCCTGCACGTGAAGAAGGAGGACTACACCGCGGCCATGGGTGAGCGGGATTTGGATGGTGGAGGGATGCGGAGGGGGAGGGGTCCCTGTCAGGAACAAGGGTCTGAGGGACCCCCTCCCACCAGCTCCCACCCTGGCCCGCGCCCCACCTCTTTCATGCTGCCCCCCATGCTTTCTTCTGCAGTCGACGTCGACCAGGCGCGGGAGCTGCTGGGCACGGAGCTGTCGGCGCTGGTGGGCGAGAGCTACGAGCGCGCCTACGGCGACATGGTGCGTGTGCAACAGCTGACGGAGCTGGAGGACATCCTGACCTTCAAGCTGGCCGAGCAGGTCACCAAAGGTGGGCGTGGCGGGTTGAGATGGGGAGGAGGAGGGCTGAGGGAGGAGGGGCGAGCGCATTTCTTGGTGCATGGGGAGGGAGGGAAGTCGCTTGGGATGGACCCCACGACCTCTCCATGGCTGGTACATGTGCATGCCGAGCGGCATGAGAGGCTTGCACGCTCCGTCTGCCCCTGCACCTCACCCAGCAGATACCGTGACCACCCCCCTTCAACATTCATCCAACCCGCATCCCACCCCACTCTGCACAGGAAACCCCGCCATCATGACGCACACCAAGAACTTCACGCAGGCGATGTGGGCGGGGCGGATGCAGGGCGTGCAACGCAATGTGGAGGTCTGGCAGGCGCTGCTCAGCGTGCGTGGCCTGCTGCTGGACATGCACGAGGACACCGCCACCTGGCTCAAGTTTGCCTCCCTCTGCCGCAAGAGCGGGCGAAGGAGGTGAGCTGGAGGGGGAGGGGGGGGCAGGGGGGGGGGGGGGCAGTGTGCATGGGTTGGCCGACCAGCTCGGTATGGAGTTTGCTGTCGCAGCATCGCCGCGCTGCTGCACTCCCCTCCTGCCCGCCGTTCTCCCGCTCGCGGCCACCGACTCGCACGGCGCCCCGGCGCCATGGTTGAGATCCTCAAACCCCCCATGCTCCCCGGGAAATGCTGGTCGCAGGCAGAGCGAGGCGGCGCTGCAGCGGCTGCTGCAGGACACGCGCGCCTCGGCGCGCGCGCGCGGCCTGGACCGCTTCCACCCCGACAACCGCGAGGCGGACGTGCTCTTCGCCTGGCACAAGCACCAGTGGGCCACGGGGCCGCGCCAGGAGGCCTTCATGGGCGTGCAGGAGCTGGCGCAGCACCTCGGCGCGGCGCAGGACCTGCGCCGCGGCGCGGGTGGCGAGGACCCGGGCCGCCTGCTCCTGGCCGCCAAGGTGCACATGAAGCTGGGGCTGTGGCGCCGCGCGCTGACCGAGAACCTGAGCCAGAACTCCATCTCCTCGGTGCTGGCCAACCTCAAGGCCGCCACCGAGTTCGCGCCGGACTTTGGCAAGATCTGGCACCACTGGGCCCTGTTCAACGTGGAGGTGGGTCCTTGCCTTGGAAGGGGGGACGGGGGGGAAGGGAGCGCACTCACAGAGGGGACAAGGGTCGGGCACCCAGCGCAGGGGGGGCCCGTGCATGGCGCGCTGCGCATCCTTTCGGTGAAGAGCTCCTCCCCGGGCACGTGCCATTCCCATGCCCAGCATCGGCCCCCCGCTGCATCTGCCTCTCACCCAGGTTTCCACCAGGGTATGTCCCCGAATGCTCCTGCCACACCCCCACCCCCCACACCCCACCGCCACCACTCCTCGTGAAGTTGTTTGTGCGAGTACCTCACCATCTAATCCAACCCCCCTTACCCCCAGGCCATGGGCTTCTACAGCAAGCACGACCCGTCTGCCGCGCAGCGCTTTGTCGCCCCCGCCATTATCGGCTTCTTCCGCTCCATCGAGCTGGGCCAGGCCCCCCCAGAGACGCAGCGCATGGGCCAGGCGGTGAGGAGCAGCCTGCAGGACATCCTGCGCCTGCTGACCCTCTGGTTCCAGCACGGCGCGGCGCCGGACGTGGAGGCCGCGCTGGCCGACGGCTTCTCGCACGTCAACATCGACACCTGGCTGGTCGTCATCCCTCAGGTGCTGGGGATGACGTGAGAATCCCCCCTCCGGCGGGGGGGGGGGCAGGCTGTGTGTGCCTGGGCCCAGGGGCCCGCGGTGGGGTGGCGCGGGCTCTCGCGAGGGCGTGGTGGAGCCATGCAGGAGCCGTTCCCGCCGCACATGCGCCACGTCCCCTCCAGTCACTCGCCGGCCCGGCCTGCCAACTCCATATCCCCCCCCGGACCCCTGCCCCCGCACCCACATCCCCAGGTGATCGCCCGGATCCACACCAACAGCTACCCCGTGCGGCGCCTGATCCACTCCCTGCTGGTCAGGATCGGGCGCTTCCACCCCCAGGCCCTCATGTACCCTCTGCTGGTGGCCTGCAAGAGCCAGTCGGTGGCGCGCCGGGCCGCCGCCGTCAGTGTCATGGACAACGTGCGGCAGCACTCTGCCACGCTGGTGGAGCAGGCCCAGCTGGTCAGCCAGGAGCTGATCCGGATGGCCGTGCTCTGGCACGAGCAGTGGCACGAGTCCCTGGAGGAGGCGTCCAGGTGCGTGGGTGTGTGTTGGAGGGGTTGGCTCGGGGGGGGTTGAAGTGGGCTGCTAGGCAGAGGACTCGAGGTTGGAGGGGATGAGCCGAGACCAGACGCAGGGCACCGTTTATTTGCCCCGCGGAGCACCGTGCCAAGGTCCAGGTGACTGCTCCCCTTCCTCACTACCCCTTTCCCCTCTGCGCTCCAGGCTGTACTTTGGCGAGTCCAATGTGGACGGCATGCTGGACACCCTGCTCCCCCTGCACGAGATGATGAAGGAGAATGGGCCCTCCACCCTCCAGGAGATTGCCTTTGTCCAGGTGCAGAGTTCGGGGATGGGCCTGGGGCGTGTGCATGGGGGAGGAGATGGATGGGTTGCTTGCTGGCGGTGGAGTTCGGGAGTGCTGCACAGCCCTGTTCCACTCCAGCCCCTCCCCGCTACAGACACTCGGGCCCCTTCAGCAGCATCGTCCCCCCCACCTAAACTCCCCCATTGCACATCACGACAGGCGTATGGGCGCGAGCTGGACGAGGCGTACGAGTGGTGTCTCAAGTTCAAGCAGTCGCGGCGCGAGGCCGAGCTGCACCAGGCCTGGGACCTGTACTACCACGTCTTCCGCAAGATCAACAAGCAGCTGCCCTCCCTCAGTGTGCTGGAGCTGCAGTACGTCGCTCCTGCGCTGGTCCGGGCCAAGGTACTGTCAGGGGGTGGGGGGATGGGGGGCCTTTCGTAGCGAGGAGAAGCAAAGCTCGCCTGCGTGCCTTCGCTGCGGTGCCCTGGGCGTGCCGGTCTCGCTGCCCGGTGTTCCTGCTGTGGTGTGCCGCGATCGAGCCCACCCCTTGTCCTTCCCTCCCCCCCTCACCAAGAACCTGGAGCTGGCGGTGCCGGGGACGTACATCGTGGGCGAGGCCATGGTCACCATCGGCAGCTTCCGCTCCCAGCTCCACGTCATCACCTCCAAGCAGCGCCCGCGCAAGCTGACCATCCTGGGCAGCGATGGCGCCGAGTACATGTTCCTGCTCAAGGTGAGCTTGGACGGAAGGGGGATGGGCCGAGGGGATGACATGCACAATACTGAATGGGGGCACCTCACACCTCCCTTCTTCTGTTTCCTGGCTGAGCTTCCCATGAGCCAAGCCCATCCCCAAAACAGGGTCACGAGGACCTTCGCCAGGACGAGCGCGTCATGCAGCTGTTTGGCCTGGTGAACAACATGCTGGCCAACGACCGGGTGACCGCGGAGCGCGACCTGAGCATCGCGCGGTACGCGGTCATCCCCCTGTCCCCCAACTCGGGCCTCATCGGCTGGGTGCCCAACACCGACACGCTGCACTCGCTGATCCGAGAGTACCGCGACGCGCGCAAGATCCCGCTGAACGTGGAGCACCGGCTCATGCTGGGCATGGCCCCGGACTACGACCACCTGACCGTCATCCAGAAGGTGGAGGTGTTCGAGCACTCCCTCAACTCCACCTCCGGCGAGGACCTGCACAAGGTGTTGTGGCTCAAGTCGCGGAGCAGCGAGGCCTGGCTGGACAAGCGCACCAACTACACGCGCTCCACCGCGGTGATGAGCATGGTGGGCTACATCCTGGGTCTGGGGGACCGCCACCCCTCCAACCTCATGCTGGACAGATACTCGGGTGGGTGGGGAGTGTGGGGAGGGGTGGGTCCTGGGGAAGGAGGGCTGGGAAAGCAGGGCCAGTGGGGTGGGACCAGCAGGGCTAGCGGGGTGGGACCGGCACGGCGAGGGGGGTGGAGGTGCTCAGGCAGGGGCACCCGAGATGACGGGGACTCTGGAATGCCCGAGGGGGCCGGCGTTCTTCATCGGGGCACAGCCCTGCGCACTCCTTGGCTGTGCACAGAGCCACTCTCACCCTCCAGCATCAGAGTGCATGTCCCCGGCACACCCCAGCTCCCATGCTCAAGACCCCTGCCTCTCCCTCGGCAGGCAAGCTGCTGCACATCGACTTTGGCGACTGCTTCGAGGCCAGCATGCAGCGAGAAAAGTTTCCCGAGCGCGTGCCCTTCCGCCTCACCCGCATGATGATCAAGGCCTTTGAGATCTCCGGCATCGAGGGCAACTTCAGGTGCGTGGAGGCGGAGGTCGAGACCGAGAGGGCGCCGTGTGCTCCTGCCCGATCAGTGTGCGGCCCCTGCGCCGGGTCCACACCGGGTCGCCGGGCTCGTGACCTCCCGGCTGCCGCCGCCCCCTCCCCTGCCCAAACGATCACCGACCCCCACCCTCAAAACAGGGCCACGTGCAACGAGGTGCTGCGTGTACTGCGCAGCGAGAAGGACTCGGTGATGGCCATGCTGGAGGCCTTCGTGCACGACCCGCTCATCAACTGGCGCCTGCTCAACGCCAACGACGGCGCGGCGTTCGAGGCGGCGGCCGCGCCCGACGGCGAGCTGCCACCCTCGCCCCCCATGCGCGAGTCCTCGCGCCAGGAGGCCCTGGCCTCGGTGCCGGGGGACGCCGCCGAGGCCCTGAACGAGCGTGCGGTGGTGGTCATGAAGCGGCTGTCGGAGAAGCTGACGGGGCGCGACTCGGGCCAGGACGACCGGGACGCCGACACCGTGTCTCAGCAGGTGCAGCGACTGATTGCGCAGGCCACCAGCGCCGAGAACCTGTCGGTCATGTACATCGGCTGGTGCGCGTTCTGGTAGGGGGCGCACGCGACGTGCGAGTTGTTTTCGTGACACCCTCCGCTGGTGTCGGTGCCGTGGCCGACGGCACTCGGTATGCAGGCGCCCATGACTGTAAAGATTGCAGAGGAGCGAGAGGCACAGGGGAAAAGAGGGAGGAGGGAGGTCCGCAGGCAACAGAGGAGGGCATGGCGATGGGTGTCAGATCTTGGAGCCCGTCACCCTTGGAACACACTCGGCCGCTCAGCCGAGTGGGGTGACGGTTCCTTCCGCGCGTCATGCCGGCTCCCCTGGGCTCTGCGCCGGTCCCGCCCGCTCATGGCAGCACATCCTCCTCGCTGGGGGGCTGGAACGCGGCCATGCCCAGGCAGGTGGCCAGCGCCTGGCGCAGCTCCTCCCGCTCCTTGGGCAGCGGCACGCCCTCGATGACGGCGTGGAGGTAGGCCGCGTCGTCGCTGAAGTTGGCGGCGGACAGCTGCGGCGCCAGGCGGTGCATCATGATGGCCCGCATCACGTCCTTGCCGAGCGCGCTTAGCCGGTGGGAGGGCTGCAGGTTTGCGGAGCGCCCGCCGGAGTGCTGGATGTACTCCTGCAGCGTCTCCTCGTACGCCAGGTCCTCCTCCGTCCCCTCCACCAGCATGGGGGACTCCACCGCTGAGGTCTGTGTTGGGCATCGTTGTTGTGATGGGGGTTGTGGAGGAGGGTGGAGTGTGTGGTGTAGATGCCTGGGCTGGAGCATCACAATCTTAGCCTCCCGTGGCCACCAGGCAACCCTGCCTGAATGTTGTGTTGTTAATGCACCCCCACTGGGGCACCCAGTAGGCTGCTCCAGGTGCCCCCACACTCACGTCGTCGATATCTCGCTCGGTGGCGTCGGGCAGGAAGTCGTCGTCCTCCTCGTCGGCGTCGGCGTCGTCCGCCTCGGCCTGACGCACCGTGACTTCCACCAGCTTACCGTTGCGCCAGAACTCCTGGCCTTCCAGGATGAGGATCTGCGGGGTGGATTGGGGGCCAGCACTTGTCGGTCAGGTTACATCTCTTTGTTCCACAAGCACAGCCGCGCCTCCGGTGTAGGATGCCCTTGGAGCCAGATGTATGTTTCAACCCATGAAAGTGACCCCTGCTCCCCCTACACTAGACAACCCACCTTTTCGGGCTCTGCGGCCGGGGCCTTCTGGGCGCCGTCAAAGCCGCCCCGCCTCGCCTTTTCCAGCCGCTTCACCAGCACCGTCTTGCTGCCGGACACCTGCAGCTTCCGCTGCAGCAGCTCGGCTTTCAGCTCCCGCACGTTCATGGCAGCAATGTCAATCATATTGCCCTCCTTGTCCACGACACTGTCGTTGGCAACGTCGATGATCACCCCGTCCCCGATCAGCCACTCCTTGCCCGCCGCCTCAGACTCCACGCCTGATGAGCAGAGTGAGACAGGACATGTTGTAGGGATCAAGATACAAACCTTAAGTAAAATATGAGGCGCGTCTTGAGCTGAATGAAGGGCTTCTGCACACTTCATCTCTTTAGCAAGGTCATTATGCTGATGCACCCTGCCACCCACACGACCCTCACCAAAGGTCTTCAGATTCTGGATGCGCTGCTGCAGCCAGCTCGTGCAGACGCTGCGACCCTGATTGTCCTTTCCAAAGTCTGCGCCCGTCAGGACTCGGCCCTCATCGAGCATGAGTGTCATCACAAACAGCATCTCTTGGGACTTGACGGACGCGCTGCAGAAAGTAGGAATCCAATCACAGCATAGTGAGTGAGCGGCGATTGGTCCTGGCATCCATTGTGCGTCGAATCAATCCAATCAGCCCATGCACCTGAGCATGTTGAGCAGCTCCGATATCTGTTCGTCATCCAGATGCTTCAGATACGGTTTCCTGAACAGGACCAGCTTCTCAAACTCCTTCCAGGCCGCCTGCAGGGTGAGGAGGAGAGGTTAGTCAGTGAATGGCGCCCAGGCGTCAGAGGTACATTCCCATCCCCTTGCGGGCCACCTCTCCCTACCCGGCAGTCCTTGAAGTGCAGGTGGCCCGCAACCAGGTATGAGATTAACTTCTTGTTCGGCTGCACGCCAGCAAAGGTCAGCTCCGACACCACCCGGCTAAACACAGACTGGAGGTGCTCGACCGTGTGGTGCTCTCTCCTCTCAAGGAATTCCTGTGAATTGATTTTTGTGGAGCTTCCGTGAGGTCAGGGTCCGAGTGGATGGCAGACAGGTGACTTAAATTCTCTTAATCCTGGTGGCCATGAGCTAATATCCCAGCCAGCACCTGCAATATCGTGCAGTAGAAGCCCACATGCTGACGCTCAGCCGCATTAGGGGGCAGTCGCTGTAGCAGCTCATATGTGCCTGCAGCAGCGGGCAATGGTTGAAGAGTATGTGCAAGGGTTCATAGGATGGCAGTTGCGATCCAATGGCGCAGCGCATACAGTCAACAGGGCGTGTCCATTCTGGCGGCTGGCTAGAGAGCCTCCCTCACCCTCGTCAGTCTGCGCGGCGGTCACCATGTTTTCCACCATGGAAGACACTACGACGCCATTCTCCTGTGGATTGAGATCGGGAGTAGGACAGGCGCTGGTCGCCATACCAGAAATCAAACAGCGTACGGGCAAGCTTATCGCTATCGCCAACACAACACACCTGGGCCTGGAGAAGGCGGGCTGCCGCATCCCTCGTCCTGGCATTGTCCAAAAGGTACAGGAGTGCCTGTTCAGAGAGCTCCGCCGGCGGCAGGTTCCCCCTCGCTTCACCCTGCGAGGGAGGTGGGGAAATCGAGCATGTCCATGGGGCCTCCCACGCGCTGCAGGTCAACATCAGGAACAGGCTTCACTGTACCCTCTCACCCTCCCACCTGCAGCAGCATGCTGTAGCCCAGATCTGCGGCGTCGCTGCCAAACAGGGCGGTGCAGTAGGTTACCCACGGCTTGGGCGACGTCTGTGAGGCAGGCAGGTCAAAGACCTCTGCGGCGAGGCCCAGCTCCCCCTCCACGACGCAGAGCTGAATGACAAGGCAGAGGCTCTCGGGCAGGGGCGTTAGGCCTGCAGCGCGAAGAAGCATGGCGGGGACTCGGGGTGAGCACGCAAGTTCTCCCGTTCCATTCAATTCCTCCAGCCTCAGCCCATGCTCGGCCAGCACCACACCACTGCCGCCGTCCTGACCCACCTGCCAGCTGCATCAGCTCCAGCGCCAAGCAGGCACCCTGGGCGTCCCCCGCGCTGGCGTGGGCGACGAGGAGGGCGTGGCAGGCCCGGGGGCCCGGGGTCAAACCGTTGCGCAGCATCTCGTCCAGCACCTCGGCAGCCTTGTTGTACTTCCCGCTCCTGGCCAGGATGGCCAGCTGCCTGTGCCAGCGCTGGCGCTCCGGCTCGTCCTCGTCGATCTCCTCCTGGGTCTGGTATATCCCGAGGGCTGTACGGCGCTCGAACTCGCTCTCATCGCCGTCCCCGCCCGCGCCATCGTCGTCTAGGCGAGACAGGGGGATCTCGGGCCAAACCACGCTGGGCTGCAGGCCCTCCTGCCGGGCAGGCAATCGCCACGCAACGCCCCTTCGATATATAGGCAATCTGAAGCAGCGGAAAACGTTGCTCGGGCAATGGCCCAGAGGCCTGATGCTGCAGGTGGAGGCCTGTATCCATTGGAGCCCCGGCGACATAGCGGTCACTCTGTCCTCATCGTGACAGCTGACGATTGATGCAGCTGGGGCAGGACATTGTGTACGTACCAATTAATATCTGAATGTTCCTCCTGACCGCTGTGCGCACTCAGAGACGTTGCAACTGCTCCTGACTGGACTCCAAGTGCATGCTCGTCGTTTAAGGCTTATCTGCCACGTCGGCAGCGCACAGACTTTCCTGGAGCCCTGCCCAGCTTGCGCTAAATGTAGAGACTTCAGACAAGACGACACACATATTCACAGGCGGAAAGATCGCGTAACTTCACTTCACAGACGGGAAGTGTGGCTGTGGGTATGGCTGCAAGCAGCTATGCCGCTCCGGGCCTCCGCGCGCAGGGTGCATTTTCCGCCCAAAGGCCTTTAGTGTCCGTGGAGCATATCTGCAATGGTGTATGGTCGATTCAGGCGATATCCAGGCAGCACGTCAAGTCTGGGAGGAGTAGAGTCCTTACCCGGGCAGGCAACCCCATTCACGACCAGTTTCGGTGAGTGGGGAGGGTGGTTCCTTGCAAGCATCTGACAATGCTCACGTGGTATTGACTCAGTGTCTCGAGGAATTTGGATCAACATTCAACCCTTCTCACTCCAGGGACCGACGCGTGGTGCAGCATGAGCGGCTCCAGGACTTCATCGAGCTGACCAACGCCAAGGACCCAAAGCATCAGAAGCCTCCGACGGTCAAGTCTCTGGTGCTGTACGTCCCCGCATGGCTCAGGTACTATGCCATTCCCTCACCTCTGAAGTACATCGTTTATGCCATCGTACGCGCTGTTCTTACGGCGCACTACAAGTGGAAGAAGTGGGCCGTCCTACAAGGTACATGGCGAGAGTTGCATGGTGGAGCCGGCGGAAGGACCTTTTGAGGACTCCTAGGCATTGCATACCTGTCGACCCACAGAGTGGCTGGGATAACCGTTTTCATCCGTCGAGTGTGCTCATTGCAGGCGCAAGATTGGATGACAGGCTGCAGACGCAAGCGTATGGGACATCCAGGGTGGAGGCGGGTCGCCTGCTCCGGCGGCTGCATGGCAAGGAGAGCGTGCTGGACACCCTGAGGTATCGATGGGCCCTGTTCAAGGACTCCAGAGCGGCAAAGCCTCTAGCAGCGAGCTCCTGATGCACGAGGTCCGCATGTATATTCCGAGCGATGTGCGATTCTTTCTCCCAAGCATGTTGCCAAGCTTGTAACCAGATACTAGGAGTGTTCTTACGTGTCGGGGTAGACGCTCAAGGCAGCAAACATGCAGCGCAGTCGCGACTGGGCCGACTCGCTCCTTCCATGCGGTGCAGGTTGCGCGGCAAGTTTCACCTCTTGCACGCAGGTGGGGAGGGCGAAGACCGGGCACCCGGCCAGGCTCAGCACCAAGCGCCTGCCTTCTGCTGGCCAGCCCATCCTGACATCGGTGAGCACGTGTCAGGGAGGTCCTGTGCCGGCCTGGATCGCTGCTGGGGTGTGGGGTTTGTGCCCATCACAGGCTGTGCTCGAGTTTCAAGGACTCGTAGATGATGACCTACATTTGGAGCAGCAGGGAATCGAGGAGGGGACTGCTGTCTGATTGCTGCACCCTGCCATGCTCCTGGCTCAACCCACTTCCCACGTGGAACAAGCTCTTCCTGCCCTCATGCATGGGAATCTGATCTTCTCACCTGGTACAGCTTGGTGACAAACTCGGGAGCATCCTCGTCGAGGACATCTTGCAGGGCCTCCAGCACTTTCAGCGCCGGCTGGTGCCTGGCAACCTTTATTCCAGAGGAGGAGTGTTTGGGAATTGCGGGTGGACGGGGGTTACAGATGCGGGCGCTAGGGATTCTGTAAATAATTGCACCGTGGCAACCTGCATCCCCTCCCAGCATACCTGCTGCATGACGAAGCTGGCAAACGACTCCTCCTCCTCCCCCATCAGCATCTGGATTCTCTTCCCCACCCAGGCTACAATGTGGATTTCGGGCAAGTGTGTGATGTGCGGATGCAGGGGTCGCGGCAGGATGCGCTCGAGGGGATGTGCAGAAAGGAACATCCAGAGGTGTGCCCACTCCTCGTCGAATTCAGCAAACAGGCTGTAAAAAGGGTGGCCTGGGCGAGTCACGACCACCCCACCCACCCACCCTGGTACCCCCAACCCCCCACACCCCCACACCCACCTTGGATGCGCTGTTTCACGTCTGCCGGTGCGGCATCCAACAGCTCCCACCGCACCTGCCAGGCAAATACCGCATCCTGGCCCTTGGGAACGCGTGCCATGACCTGCCGCTTGAGCTGCTCGGGGTCGGCGGGCTGCGGCGCTGCGGCTGCCGGCGCTGGGGAGGGCAGCGTGGCAGCCGCCTCCGGCTTCGAGGCCTGCTCCGGCGCGCCAGACGCCGCCTGCTCCTCCTGCGCCGCCGCCTCGGCCGCTCGCCGCATGGCCTCCAGCTCCTCCTCGGTGTAACTGTCGTTAGCGGGGCCGCGGGGATGGTGGTGAGAGAATTGGCGGTCTCGGTCCAAAAGTACAGCCAGCGCACGCGGAGGCCTCTTCCCCGGCCACCACATGGTGCCCTCCGCTGCCGCCACCCTGGAACCCTGCTCCCAGCAACCCGCCTCCACACATGGGGCTCACGTAATGGGGATGAGCTTCCTCTTGGGCGCCGCCTCCTCCTCCTCCTCGACAAAGGCCGCCTGCGCCTTGCGTCGCAGCGTGCCCAGCGCCCGTCGCTCCCCGCCCGGCGCGCCCATTCCGGGCTGCAGGCTCTCGCCCGCCGCCGCCATCATCGCGCGGTAGATGGCGTCCTGCTCGTCCAGCGCGGACTGCGCCGCGTCGGCGCTCGCGCGCTCGGCCTCGGCCTCGCGGTCGGTGCCCTCGGCGGCGGCCGCGGCGGCCGCCGCAGCAACCGCCTCCTGCTCTTTTCGAACCGCGGCGGCCTCCTCCTCCTCCTCGGCCCGGCGTCTGGCACGGCGCTCGACCGCACGGCGGCTGCAGAGCGAAGTTGGCAGAGAGGGGTTTAAGCGCATCAATGTCTCGTCTGTGTTGCCTTACGGCACTGGTCTGCGCCGCTCGCCGAGCGCGTCGGAGAGCGACATGGGCAGGTGCTTCCTTGTCGCATGCATCTCCATGCGCCAGCAAATCTCGAGTTCCGAGAGCCATCACTCAATCACTTGCGCTCCCAGCCACCTCCACAGGTCCTGTCCCGGCGGCACCAGGGTCTTCCATTCCACACAGTCCTCCCCCAGCCAGCCCCACCTCTGGCTGTACCACTTCCTCCGCCAGATCTCCTCGTCATCGCTCCCCACCCCGGAGTTGTCGGCGTGGATGGCGCGCGCCCTTTCCTTGAGCAGGTCCCGCTCCTTGTCGGCCTCCCGCTCCCGCTCCCGCTGCTGCGTCCTGCGGGGGTGCAGTGCATGTTCAGTCGGCGTTGACCTCCCCGCTCAGTCACGGCCCCGTGCAAAGCACTCGGCGAGATGAGCGCAGCCTAAGCATTGGCTGGGACCCCCCAAAACGGTCGAAGAACGTACCTTTCTATCGCCTCCCAGGCACGCTCCGACTCCCGATATGCCTGGTCCTCATCCTCCCGCCGGCGCTGCTCCTCCCGCTGCCGCCGCAGCAGCTCCCGTTCCTCCTCCTTTGTCGGCTGCGGTCGAGCACTGGGCCTGCGTGCATGGATTGGTACACGCAGTGGAACCCAGAGGTACGGGGATGGGAGGGAGGCATGCCTCAGGCTTCACGAGGCATACCTTCCTTGGGGACAGAGCGGTGCCAGACCCGTCCCTCCCCAAGCCGTCCAGACACCCTGGGGGCCACGGGAGGCTGCTCACCCGCAGCTAACCACGCACCCTGGGGGCTCCTGCTGAGCTGTCAGCGTGCTGGTCGACTGCAGGCCGGCGAGGAAGTCTGAAGCGGCGGCCACCGCCTCGCCAGGCTCCGGCTGCTCGGCCAGCTGCTGGGGTGCCCTCTGGCTCAGGATGCCCATGACCTTCTCCAGCGCGGCATTCTCCAGGGTGGTAGGGTCAGGGGTTCCCTCGCCGCCCGCTGCTGCTGCTGCTCCCGGGGTCGCCCTTTGGTGCTGCTTCTCTCGTTCCACCCAGTCCAGGTACTCCTGGGTGGCCTGTAGACGAGGAGAGAGTGGGCTTTGGACCCGTCGATGGGTTTCCATGCAGCAGCTGGACTCACAAGTGGGCTGTGGCGCCACATCCGGGGCACTGCATGATGCATGTTCCCACGATAGAGCGGTTGCAGCCATCGCTCCTGGGCACCCTTGCCCCAATCTCTCCTCCTACCCCCTTCTGAGCACCTTGTTGGTCTTGGCGATCAGCTGCTGGCCATCCACATTCAGGTTATTCAGGACGCGGATGGCGATGCTCACCCCCTCTGGCTCCGCATAGGTGCAGAAGCCAAAGCCCTTGAACTTGGAGGTGTCCGGGTCCAGGGTGGGCTTCCACACCTGCACCTCACCACACGCCTCCAGCAGCTCCCGCAGCACGCTGTCTTCCACGCTGGGGGCTATCCTTCCCACATACAGCGTGGTGCTCTTCATCGGCACACCTCCTCCTGGCAGAGGGAACATGAGGTCGGGGAACAGGTTGGGGGTGCGAGGCTGGGACTGTTAGGTCCCAGCCCCCGTGGCACCGGGCACTGTGGGGGCAGGCGGCAGCAGGCAGGCAGGCTGGGTATAACCCCTCTACCTGGCCGAGGGTAGGCGGAAGTGGGAGGGGCTGTGCCCTTGGGATAGGACGAGAAGTTTGTCGGGTACGTCCTGTGCCCTGTAGGTGGGGAAGAGGGAGGGCAGGCTCTGCAAGAGGGCGGAACACCTCTCCCATCATGCCGATTCTCGCCACTCCCCGTCCCACCTGGATACATGCCGGCAGGGTACTGGGGAGGAGGGCCTCCGAAGCCAGGCCTCCCATTGTACATGCTACTCGATCTGTCGGCCGATTGATCTCTTGGCAAGAGTCCAGATCGAGTGTGGGCAGTCGGGCGATGCAACCACGGTGGGGCGTGATATCACCGCGCACAAGCGCGAAAACGGGGCACGAATGGGCTAATTATGAAAGGAACACTTTTGTTCAACTTGCACACTGAACCTTGCACGCACTGTTAGTCGATGACTTGGCATTGCCACGTTTGATGGGTGTCCCACCGCAAGCATAGTTGTATTCAATGGCGGGAGCCCTCTCCCATCGTAGTGGAGGTTACGAGCCTAGCAAAGTCTCGTCCCTACCAACAGGAGATCGTCGATCTCGATCATAGTTGGTCCTGCATTGTCTGGGATTCTGACCATTAGGGCGAGCGTGAGCGGATTCTCGACATGACTGAGGGGGTGGAGACCCCCGCGGAGTTTGCTGTTGGGTGCAGCGTCAGATTGCGGGTCGAAGGCAACCAGGTAACCATACGCTGGAGCAATCGGGAGTAAAGTTCGACGATCATGTAGGAGAATGCTCACCTTCCCTCCCTCAACTCTCCCAGGAACTGTCTGGGGAGATATTTGCGGTGGATCCCACATACAAGGTCGTAGTCCTGAAGACGCTGGGCGCGGATGCCGACCTGCCCGACATAGCGATCCTGAACATGGATTCCGTCACAGAAATAGTCGAGGCCACCCCTAGGAAGACTGCTCCCTCAGAGGACTCGGACCAGCTCCCGGAGGTGGACCCCAAGCGGGGCATCCAGCGGGAGGCTCGGGCCGTGCGGCTTGCCCAACAGGACGCACAGAGGATAGGAGTTGGAGTCAGCAGGTGAGATTTCGGGGCTCAGATGGTGTAATACTACGCCAAGCAGTTGGGCCTCCTGTGCAATCCTTTTGCTCACTGATGGCGGCCAACCCTGTTCACCCGCCTCCTTTACGAGCACAGGAGGGGCCAGGCAGTGTACGATGCGATATCCAAGACCCTGCCGTGCCACTGGGATAGCAAGACCATCGTGGTGCTGGATGAGGTGAGGGCATTTGCGAGGCTGTCGTGACCAGGCTTGCAGGGCAGGTGGCTTTGGATCAAGGGATTGACCACCTGTACCATCATCTTCACGTGCAGGTGGCCATCTCCGAGCCATATGAGGTTAGCAGCTGCCGAAATCTCCATGACAGTGACTCCCCCCTCCTCGAACGTGTCCGATTAGTGGTGAGCGGGGCGGGCCTCCAGCAGGGAGGGGGTCTGGTGTATGGCCTGCGAATGCAGCTCCTAAGCCAGCCAGTGTGCGAACCCACCGAGCTCGCCAAATTGCCCCTGACCTTGCACTGTCCCCTGATATCGTGCCAACACAGATGAATTCGGAGCTGGTGGTACGATGATGAGGCTGGAGCGAGGCCAATGACATTGGTGCATGGGTGCCAGGTCTCATCCCGCAGGGCAATGCTGCATGTCTTGCTGATGCCCCTTGTGCCCCCCGCCCCCTTTGCCACCCCCCGTACGGCCCCTCACTGCTCTCTCTTGCACCCACTTGAAGTTTTACACGGCTACACCGTTGCCGCCCCTGCATCTGCCGATGGGTGTAACCCCACTCCCTCGCTCTGTATGGGTGGGGACAGCTGCAGGGCGTTCGGGCCCACACACTCCTCTCTCCTGTCTGCGGGTGGGGCAGGGAGGGTGCCGGGGTCGGGCGGCAGGCAGGCACCCAGGCATGTCGGTTCTGTGAGCCCCGAGGACCACGCTCCCAGGCAGCCGCCCCACCTGGTTCGTAGTAGTCACCGTGGTCATTGAAGAGCTCGTCATCCCCCATGACCTCAGTCTGGTGAGCAAGGGTGAACGCCAGCAGCTCCTGCAGCCCAAGCATGGAGCTGGTGGTGAACTCCAGATGGCCAGTTTGGGATGATGAGGCCAAGCAGGGGGCATTGCTCGAGGTCGCTCAGCTCTCCGCCAGGGGGCGACGAGGACGACGCCCAGTGCTGCAGCCACCCGCTTCCAGTCCACACTCTACCCCCCCCAACATCATCACACGCACCTTGAGGCCCGCGTTCTCCAGCAGTAGGCGCGCATTCTCCCGCGCCAGTCTGGCCTTCTCCTCCAACAGAGCCTGCATCTGCTCTGTCACCTGCTCCGACACAAAGTCGTCCGGCTCCCTCACGCCAACCGTCTTCACAGGCTCACGCCTGTGCCACGGTCCGGTAGAGGGCCAGGGTGTCCTCTCATATGGTAGACATGGGCGCGGGGAGATGGTCACTGCTGCGCGAGATGGGAATCTCCCAGACCCCAGCAACCGCGTGATTGGGTCTGCATGCAACCATGAACAGCGCCGACCTCTCCCACTCACGCCGAGCGTGGAGGCTTGGCTGCCCTGGGCTGAGCGTCGGCCGCCGCCTCCGCCGCATCTCCCTGCTCCAGCAGATCTGCGGACAGGTGGGGATGCACATGGAGGGTGAGACAGGGAGCAAGCCTGGCGCATCATCTCAGGCAGGCAATACATTGGGGTCCAGAACATGGGATGCCAGGCAGGGCTTCCCGAGGCTGTGATTGCACGTCGATGGCCTTCCAGAGCGGGACACCCTTGACGACAGCCCCTCCACGCACACCTGACACCGCATTCAGCCGGTTGAGGAAGGGGCTCATCGTTTTGGACTTGGCGCCGGGCGCGGGCTTGCCGCCCCTGGCTCTGCCCCTGCGCGCCCAGCCGGCCTCCGTCCCCCACTCCTCCGCGACGGCAAAATCCGTCCAGGGCTCGCTGCCGTCCTGGGGGGGCGCGGAATGCGCCCCCGCCCGGGCCCCGTCCTCGCCGGGGCCGTCTGTCAGGGGGGTGCTCCAGTCCTTGAAGGCCTGCCCGATCACATCGTCCAAGGTATGTGCGAGCCCCTCCATCATCTTGCCCACCCCCGAAAAGGCATCCAGGCCCTGCGGTGGGGTGCGCAGCATGCCAGCGATGATGGCCAGCGATGTCGGCGGCATGCATGACTCCATGCCATGGTACGACTGGATGGCGCAGGCGCGCACCCCCCAGCAAGGAGCTTGCCTTCTTGAGCACCAGGGCGTCCGGGGTGGCGGACTCCTCCCCTTCGCCTCCGCTGCGAGCCGTGTTGGCCTTCAGCAGGCGCAGCGCTCGGTTCACTATCTGCGTGGTGGCGGACTCTACGGCCGGCTGGGCACCGATTCGTGCAGCGGCCCGGTGCGGACCACTCCTTGCAGGTTGAGCTCGGGCAGAGGTAGAGGGGCCACAGGAACTTGCGGTCTCAATCTGTTCATCTAGCCAAGACGATGTGGTTTGACCTTCTGCAAGCTTCTCCTGGAACGATGTCACCACGGATTGCGGTCCGGCAAGAGCAGACGTGGTTCGTTGTGCCCCAGCCACGGCACATGGAGTCCCCGGCATCCTGAGCAGAATGCAAGGATCGGGTGAGGTGCACGGCTTGAACGTCAAACCTTTGAGCTGAATTGCATCTATTGAACACCGTCACTATCGGTTCTTACCTTTCGCGTCCCTCCTAGGATGCGGCCCCGTGCTCGAAAGAATGTCCTGCTATGGCAAAGGGGGGGGCTGTATGGAAGAGCCTCGGACCTCAGACAGATGCCATGCACTTCCGGGGCCTGTTATTCTGCTATCCTTGTTTGGTGGCCGGGTGGATTGTCCATCCGCCACATCCTTGTCCTTCGAAACCTGCTCCGATGTGTTTGAAAGTTAGCGTGATGGCGGGTACTGTCGGAGCCCGGTACCGTTGACAGGCACCTGTTGCTGGGCTGGCACGCTGGAGGGACACGGTCTGGGTCGACCTGACACCTCTCCTGTACTTACCGGAAGTGATCCTTACCCGTTTGCGAGACATGCCTGCACATTGATCAATCCGTTCGTCATGGCAGTCAAGGCACTGATAGCCTTGGGGACAGGCCGCGGGAACATGCTTCACGCGGATCAGGGCTCTGATGACGGTAGCACAGTGTCATATCACCCAATAGGTACATGCATGCCTCCTGGAGTCGCTGCCGGCTGTCGCACCTCGCGCGCATGCTCTGCGTGGGGTTCCCGGCATGAACCATCACTGCAATGCACTGCTCTCGTACACTGCAGAGTACCAGCGTCCAATACCACTGCGGTGCCTCTTCATGGTTGTAGAAACACAGGACGGCATCTTTCTGCTGTCTGTTGCGTGAGCCTGGACTGGTAAAGGCTCGACTCTGCGGGAGTGGCTGACGTTCTTGCATGTATTTTGTACATGTACCCTACACGACTCTTCTGTGTCCTCCCCATAGGAACCCTGGGAGGGCTCTAGAATGCTCCTCCAACATGCAGCACGTCACGCTAGAATCCTTTGACCCAGGACGGTGTCAGCAGGTCTGGCTCCAATCAGTGGATGAGATACGGCCGGGACGCTGGTCGGGTCAGGTGGGACAATTGGCTGTGGAGGTGGGGTGAGGAGGGGTGTAGATATGTGCCACCGCGCTCCCAGCCACACCCTCCCCTTGCCGAAACGCCCTGTGTTCCCCTTTTCCAGACGCAGAGCTTCTCCTTCTCGATGCTGGCCGCCGAGGCATTCCTGCCAGGAAGCCCGCTCTGGCAGGAAAGCCACACACCCTCCAAGCATGCGCAAGCCACCGAGCAGCAGAACCTGAAGCTCGCCGAGGTGATGCTTTGGGATCAGGGAGGGGGGTGGCCTGGGTGTGTGGCGGGCTGTTGTGGGCCACCCTTGCGCCCAGGGTTGCAGTGAGGTGGTATGTCGATGGACTGCCCCTGATCCACGATTGGGCGGATGTCGTGTGGCTTGATCCTGATCACCGTGTCCTCCCGTGCCCCATGCAGGAGCTTGCCGGCAAGATGCAGGGCCTGTTGGAGGAGCGAGCGCGGCTCCACCTGGCCCTGCATACCATCAAGGAGATGACCAATATGATGAGCCACGGGGAGACTCGAGCAGCGGACGGGGAGGGGCCTGGCTCCATCAAGGCTGCCAGGGGGCCGAGCAGCCCCGTGCCCGAGGGTGCGGCGGCGCACCGCCAGCGGCAACCCGGCGCGGCAGCACCGCAGCGAGGGGAGGCTGCGGAGCGGCCCCTGGGCCCCCGGCCGATGCAGGTGTGTTCTGGTGTGGCAAGGCCTTCTGCGGAACGCTGGGGTCTTGGTGATACTGTGCTGCCTGGGCTACGTGTTGATCACTGCCCTGGTCAGGACAGCTCTCCAAGGCTACTCAGCCATTTGCACTGTCGCACCATGGCGCAGGCCGAAGCACGGGAGCCCCAGGGCAGCCACAGGCCCAGAGCCACGGGCCACCCGGCCCTGTGCCCTGAGGGACGGGCCAAGGCCACGCTCTTCTACTCGCTGATCAACCCCTTTGAGACCGGGTGGGTGGGTTGCTGGATGGGGGAGTGGCCCCTGCTGCATCGAGGCTGCACGATGATGGGCATGCATCAGATTGAGATTCCCGCCCTCAGCGCTCACCCCCCTGACCCCCTCTTCACTGGCTGGCAGGTCCACCCAGGGTGCTGCCACGCCCCGGTCGGAGCTGGAGCCTGCCATGATTCGGTTCAGGCAGGGCGATGGCCGACCCAGGGCCGCCGCCTCGCCCTCGACCTCCCAGCAATCCCTCGACAGCACACACAGGCATGGGCTGAGGGTTGTGCATTTAAGACTCGTAAAGCGGAGACGGGAAGCAGCTGATCGCAGGCAGGCTGCTGGCCAAGTGCCTGCCGCAGTACACAAACACACACCCTGCAGATCAGAGCAGAGCATCAACACCCCACGGATGGCTGCCCTCCATGCTGATCGGCACCAACCACTCGTGCAGGGTCGCAGTGGCTGGGACGCATGTGGTCGACTACGTGGGCTCCAGGCCAGACGCTACCACAGAGGCTGCGATGGATCGGATTCTGGACCAGCCCCTGCCCACCTGGGATCCAGAGGTGACTGGTGTTTATAAGTGACGAGAGAGGAAGGGTAGGGATGCTCCTTCTGAGGCACCGGGTGGGCGCCTGTGCCCACCGCGTCACTTTCTCTTCTTGATCAGAAGAGTTGAGTTCCACCTCCACACTCTTGATTCCAATGTGAGCCTCCCACACCACCCCTCCACAGGTGGGCCGCTTGGCGGGGCTGGTCACCCCGCCCCGCACCGGCGGGCACCCCAGCACGGCCGGCGCCTCGGCGCCGGCCAGCGTCGTCTCGGGCCCACCCTCGCCCTGCGCCGACACCTCGGGCTGGGCCGTGGGCTCGCTGTCCTTGCCGCCCTCCACCCACGTAACGCCGTCCGTCCCCGAGTCAAGCCGCGTGCACAAGGGTGGTCCCAGGTGGGCTTTTGGAGGGAAGGTTGTCGGCCCTGGCCTGCGCAGTGGAGGGAAGATGGAAGGTTGGCGATAAGGACGATTCGGCGCTTATATTGTGTGTCAGGTCCCCTCAAACCCTCGGCTCCTGTCCCCCCGGTCAGTCGCCGATCGCAGCCCCAATCCCCGTCCCTCTCTTCCTCCTTTCCCAAAGGCCCCGCCGGGGCGTGGACCTGATGCCGACGACGGCCGCCGTGGCCGCCATGGAGCGCGACAGCCCCATCCAGGCCAACGCCGTGGCGCAGCTCATGTCGGACCAGGTGTCCATGCGCTCCTCCATGCCCGACGGCGCCTGGGCGCGTCCGGTGCGGGATCTGCTGAAGCAGCAAGGTGCGCTTGCAATGTGTTCATCGTCTCAGCTGGGTACGGGAGGGTCAGTCAGGGGCTGGGAAATCAGGGCTCGGGCGGCGCTGCTGTCCTTGGTCCAACTGTCGCAGCCGACATGCAGCAGCCCTTCACAAACCCCCTTGCACCCCCTCTGCAGACCCCTCGCGCCGGCCACTGTGGAGCAGCACCCCCGTCTTTTCCGCTCGCCAGTTCCACGGCCTGAACCCCAAACGAGGCGACTTTCTCTCCCGTCGTGTGCCCGATTCGGCAGACCTCTTCCTCTGACCCCATCCTCAGATGCCCGAGTGACCCCCAACACTGTGACGCATTTTCTAGGGACATCATGTGTGAACATGATACTCTCCTGAGAAAACCAGGGTGGGGTGGGGGGGCAGAGGTCCGTACTTGCCAACTGGAGAACAATTCCCCCAACACACACGCAATACGTCAGTGACGCCCACGCTTGGAGCCTGCCGCAGCGCCGCCCTCGCCCTTCCTCTTGCGAGGCCGTTCGTCGTCCTCGTCCTCCGAGTGGTGGTGCGCCTTGTCCTCCCTCGCAGCCTCCTTCTCCAGCTCGTCCCAGTCCATGCCTGGGGGCCCGGGGGTGGGGGGGTGGGGGGGGCAGGGTGAAACAGCTGGGTGCACGATGAAAGAATGGGAGGCTCCTCGCCAGCCACGGGACTGACGCGCGCATCCGGCCGCCCACCTTCCTCCTCCTCCTCGTCAAAGTCGCTGCCCTCCTCGTCCTCGTCAGAGTCGACCAGCGACTCGTCCTCGCTGCTGTCGTCGTCGTCACTCTCCTCCTCGCCCTCCCTGTGTGGGTTGTCAGAGGTGGGGAGGTTGGGGTCGACGATTGGGTCATGGATCCTTTGGACATTGCTTCGGCAAGTGCTTGAGCATCATTTGCCGCAGTCCCCGATCATGCCGCAGCGACACAGTCCCCCCTCCCAACAAGGGAAAACCATCTTACGTGGGTGAGAACTCCGACTCCTCCTCCGCCTCCTCCTCCGAATCGGTCTGGGAGGTGTCCAGGAAACTCCAGCCGCCACTGTGGATGAAGCCCTCAGGGTCCTGCGGGGGGGCAGATGAGGAGTGGGATTGCGGTGACACCAGGGAGTCGTGGCCTTCATGAGGGCAGGCCAGCAGTGCAGTCGCCCGATGACAACACTGAGTCTGTGCCGCACCGCCTGGTCCCCTGCCTGTCAGTGTTCACATGACGCTGTCGTCCGCGCAGTGCCACTGATTACTCCATAACACACTCAACACCACGTACCTCCTTGATGCTCTTGAGGATGTTCTTCCAGTTCAGGTTGACCTTGGACTCGTAGTACTTGATGTCCACGGAGGTGAGCCAGTCCTTGATGGTGTCCAGCGCCTTGGACTGGATGGCGTCGATCCTGCCCACATCCCGATCCAGGTCCTGAAGCGGGATTGTAAAAACAGATGATGAGCCCTTTACTGGCCTTGCATTCATGCTGATGCATGGGCCCACCACCAAGGCAAGGATGCTGCACGAGCCTCGCAAGCAGGCAGGCAGGCAGGGCTCTCAGGCCATCCCTCAGGCGAACCATCCACCACCCCACCTTCCAAATGATGACCAGGTCAAAGTTCCGTAGGTTGAACCCTACACGCTCCAGATTGACGACGTTGACCTCTGGAAAGCGGGGCATGATTTTGGGTGGTTGGGTAGGATGGGCAGGCCGATTCAGGCCTTTCACCACCATGCCTTCCCACCCCCCCCCACCACACAATCGCCCGCCCCTCATCAGATCAAACAGACGCATTCACGAGCGTGCAACAAGTGCCAGCCCGCTCGCCGCACCTGCCAGGGTGATGACGGTGAAGGGCATCTCCGTCAGCTCAACCAGGCAATTGACGGTGGGCATGATGAAGCAGGTGGTCCGTGCCGGCACACCGTCAAAACCCAGTTCCCGGAAGGGCACCTCAAACTCCAGGTTTAGGTCCCTGCCAAAGTGGGGTCAGAGGATGAGAAGCGAAGGGGTTTACGTTTTTTAAGGGGGGGGGGGGGGGGGGGGGGGGGGGGGGGGGGGGG